TCTAGAATAGAATACAATACATAGAAATACAATAGATATCTCTGGCAGTTGTTATTGAATGTATTATGTGATTTGATTAGACCATATCAGTGGTTACCCTCTTGGGATCCTATCAACCCTGTGAGTTCATAAGACACCATTAGAAAAGCCTTAGGCTAATTTGGATATTACTAAAAGCGTAATGGAGATTACAACTTTTAACCATCACAATATTCCTCTGGCTAACACATCTACCATCTCATTAAAAAGAGAATTTAATGCTGCTTAAAATTGCTGTTTACTATTGCTTTTCACTATTTTCATGAATTATCTATGTCATTTGTTAGTAAAAATGATAATGCCATGAGTTTGACCAAAAGTGTAATTTGTCGAATAAGCAAAACAAGGGAGACAATGAAAGAAAAAGGCTATAAAATGAGTCTTTGGTGTGTGACATTTCTCAAGTTAGTTAGCCTTCTCAAACCATATTTTACTACCTTAAAAATGAGTATAGCATAAAATATTACAAATAAATAGCCTGTGTGCTCAATAAATGTTAGCTCCTTTTTTCATTTTACGTGGTGGAGAACAGATTTGTTTCCAACCCTGGAATCAAGGATTCTACGTTTCCAGAGCTGCACACATGTAAGAAGATATATAAGTATAGTTTAAGTCCAGAATTTCCAAAATATCTTGTTGTCAGATTAAGAGCTCTTTTTAAAAGTTCAACAAATATGTAAAATTCAGCAGATATCTATTAAACTATCATGAGCTCAACCTTTACAGCAACACTGCAAAATTGGCTCAGAAAAGTCAAATGAAGTTCAACAGAAGCAGTATTGATGAGGACAGTTTGTCTCTGATTCTCAGGAAAAGCAACCAATATGGGGGAGTCTGTTGGGTAGTTTATTTCTTCTTCTGCTGCTGCTGCTGCTGCTGCTGCTGCTGCTGCTGCTGCTGCTGCTGCTGCTGCTGCTGCTGCTGCTGCTTCTGCTTCTGCTGCTGCTGCTTCTTCTTCTTCTTCTTCTTCTTCTTCTTCTTCTTCTTCTTCTCCTCCTCCTCCTCCTCCTCCTCCTCCTCCTCCTCCTCCTTCTTCTTCTTCTTCTCCTTCTTCTTCTTCTTCTCTTCTTCTTCTTCCTCTTCCTCCTCCTCCTCCTCCTCCTCCTCCTCCTCCTCCTCCTCCTCCTCCTCCTCCTCCTCCTCCTTCTTCTTCTTCTTCTTCTTCTTCTTCTTCTTCTTCTTCTTCTTCTTCTTCTTCTTCTATACTTAACAAGGAAGATAGTTTATTTCTGATTGCAGAAGGAGAGAATAGACACAGATGAAAGAGTGGGATATGTTTTTAGAAGAAATGGAAAGAGGACCCTAGAAGACAGAGTGACAGGGCAGGTAGGTGACAAAAGCTAACCTCTGCCTGTGTTGAGGCCCCAGCCTATCTGCATTAGCATCTGAGGAATAGAGGAAGGAAACAAGCATATTTCCCCCCAGTTGGTTGCTAAGTGACACCAGGGAGGAGGTCAGAAGAGCAGAATTTAAAATAGGAATATTTTTTTAATTTCTCAGCATTTCTCATGCTCCTTGAAGGCAGGAACTTTTTCCTGATTATTCATATGTAGAATCTTGAGGCCATGCATTAGATCTTAACAGTAGTAATAACAACTATCATTTAGGAACAACTAATTTATGCCCAGTTGTTATCTCGGATATTTTGCACATACTACCTTGTTCACTTTTCTCCTTCAAAAATCCCTCAATCTTGTAAGTATTATTAGTCCCAATTTTAAGGTAAGGAAACTGAGGCTCAGAAAGGTTAAGAGACTTTATCATCAAAGATAAGCTAGCTTATACTAAATTAACAAACAGCCTCCAAATCTCAGTTGCTCAGAGTAACTAAAGGTTTACTTTTTACCCAAAGTCCTTTCTGATTTATGTCCAGGGGACTCTCCAGATGGCTTTCCAGATGTGGTGAATTGATACTCCAAGCTGATCATCCACCCTTTTGAATCTGATCTCAGTGTGATATTTCCTTAATAACTATTTTGGCAGGAGAAGAGAAAAAGTGGAAGATGTCACAGTGACAAATGCTTCAGCCTAGAAGTGGCATGAGTCATTTCCACTTGCTTCTGATGAGCTAGTAAAAGTCCCCACTTCACTGTGATTACCCACAAGGAAAGAGGAACCAGACATCAGTGAGTTCTAACAGAGGATGAACCAAAGCCACACAGGGAGAAGACAGAATAGCAAAGACCCCCTTCCAAGAATGTTGATTCTAAACTCCTATTTTATTGCTTTGTTAACCACCCCAAAGAGCATTTGTATTTAAATGAAACGTTCTAAATTCATAAAAGAAAAATTCTCAAATATTGACAAACTTTTAGAAACTATAAATGCTTAGAAGAGATTTAGGGCAAATGAGAAGCTTCTTCCCACCTTAAATTTTACTCTAGTGTCAACCAAAAGTGTGGGAAACCACAGATGCTTCTGGAAGAGCCAAAAGGGAGAAATATCCCTCCTTCCTGGTAATGTCATCATGATCAGCTCAATACCATCCCAGATAAATAATCTAATAGTAAACATTACGGGTGTTAATGTTATTGTGGCGTGCATCTATTGAGCAATTGCTCCATATCAAATGGTCTTGAAAGTTCTTTTCACATATGGATTCATTCCATTCTTGCAAGAGCCTAGTGAATTAAAAACTACTGTTGGCTTTGTTTTCTTGTGGGAAAACTGATGCAAGGTTAAGGGGTCACAGTCTAAGTTCAAATTGTGAGCTTGCTATGCAATTACAGTTGAAGAAACATTACCTATCTTCACCTTCTTACCAGATTGCTCCAGATAGGTTGCTCCTGTATACAAATTCTAGAGCTACCTCCATGAACAGCCATCTCTGGGCAGGAATTGAATACAGACAAGTCAACACACCAAGTCTCAGTAAATCAGAGAAAGCAACTGGCCATATACAAGAGGCAGATACTGCAGATCCTATAGTTTAAAGCTTTGGTTAAATACAAGACACTCAGATGACACAAAACAGCTCCAAAGAACAGCTTTCTTCCAGCTTCCCAGTGGAAGAAAGAACAAGAATAAAAGCATAAACCTTGTTGGACTAGTAAAGTCAGGGGCTCGGCACCTTGCTGAGGATTAGAGGCTCTATGACACAATCCCAACAGCTTCCTCCCTCCCTTTTTTTATTAGCAAGCCTGGTTCAGGCTCACTGTCACCTGTGACAGGGCTGTCTGCCCAGAGTATTCCTCTTCTCTGAACGGTTTTAGTATAGATGAAAATAAGGAAGTAAAATTACTTGAAGAGTTTGCAAGTAAGTTCTCCAAATATGAGCATCAGTGATGGACCTTTTGTAGCCAGAGCACTGAATTAGGAGCTTTAAGATTGTATCAGAAAGGACTCTGTCCCATCTTTCAAGGCCCAGCAGGGTTATGGTTGGAAAAAGCATTGTACTTAGAGTCAAAAAACAGATTTTTAGTTTGTTACCCATGGCACCATGAACAAATGAGTTAATTTCTACAAGACTCGTTTTCTTATCCATTCATATTGAAATCTGCTTCTCTTACCTCCTAGAATAGATAGTGTCTGCAAAACAACACGAGGATCCCCTAATACCCGAGACTGTTCCTCTCACCAAGGTGTCTCTGCAATTGTGTCTCATTTGTTCTTGAATGTCCTGCCTTACCTGGTCTCCCCTCACATGGCTAGCTGTATTGAGAACACATATGATCCTGTATTGGGATGCCCTTTTTACATTCCTCTCTCCTAGTTCTGTTGTGAACTCCATGACAACAACGATAGTGCCTTGTCCAGTATCATTGCGTGCCCAACACACACAGGAAGTGTGCTGTAAATGGTCATTGAGGACTGGTGATTCCAGAAATAGGATAAACAAGACACCCTAACACTGAAAACACTGAAAATGTTTGAGTGTACACCATATAAAAACTCATTAAATGCATCAATGGACTGACAAAGAAGTAAAACTATGTAAACGTCAAACCCTAAGTGCAAAAGGGAACTCCAGAAAATGAGGCAGAGCGCTGACATCAGCTCTCATCCAGGCTGTGTTTGCTGAACCCAGTGGTGCTGAGCCCAGTTTACAAGGAGACAAGCCCCAAGGCCCACCCAAAGTAGGGGTCTGATAGGAGATTCCCTACATGTACAAAGTTGGGACCCCAAAAGGCTACACCTTAATTTAAGGGTGAACATAAAATAAACAGACCCCCAATGCAATTACAAGAATATGACCCTATCTCAAACCTCTGCACTATGTGGAAGGGGAAAAAGTCCTCTGAACATTCTTAATCACAAGGTGGCCCCAATCAGGTTTGTTGTTCCAAATCTCCATAATGGGGTGGCCTGAAAACCCCTAGCTGAAAATTTGGCTTAAAGCATTCTCAGATTGGCAGAGCTAATCTTATCTGGAGGAATCAGGTCTCAAATAATTCTTCAGATGAGAAATAAGAAAAGAGAGCTTATTATCACCTCTTCCATTAAATGTTGTTGGGGATCTAGGAGAATAATAAGTCATGAAAAAGAACAGAAAGTATATGTTTCTAAAAAAAAGAAAGAACAAAAATATCATTATTCAGGGATGATATGATTATCACCTCTTTAAGTCTAACAGAGATGGGTAGGAGATTTATGGAAAATATCACAAAACTTTATGGAGAAACGTTAAAGAAGAACAAAATTTTAAAAGCGACATATCACATTCATGGATAGGAAGACTCAATATTTAAGACATTTCTTTCCAAATTGATTTATAAATCTGTAAAGTCACTCTAAGTAAGTCAACTCCAGGTGGGGAAGCCAAAAAGATACAGAAATGTGTGGGTTTGTTTCCTAACAATATTATTTAAAATGCACAAGAGTGCTTTTGTGGGAAGAAAGAAGCAGAGGGAACCAGCAGGTATAAAATAGTCCTTTTGTGTGATAGTTGCTTTCTCGGTGCTTTCTCATTTTACCTTTACACCCATCCCGCCATAGAATATTTTATTTTGTTTCTTTTATAGGTGAGAAAACTGAGGCTCAGGCATGGTTTCTGACTCACCCACGGGCACCCATCTTTCAGGGCAGAGATCTGCATCCAAATCCAGGTACGTCTGTCACCAGGCCGTCTTCCCCCGCCAGATCACATCACGAAGGAAACACTCGGAGCCCTTGCTGTGTGTCAGTGTCTCTGGGGAGAACAACGCTGAGGAATGTGACATCTCATCCCCATCAGCTTTGGCGACAAATGAACTTGTATTTGAATCCTGGAAAGTTTGTGCTTGATTGATCTTTATTTCTCATCGAGAAAATTGTAATGCTTAATAATGATGATAATAATAAAACCAACCTTACAAGACCGCCATATTGATTAGGAAAACTATTAACTATAAAATGCTTGACACCAAGTAAGTGTTTATACAGGTTTGTGATCTTTATTCTTCCTGCCTTTCTCTGTGGGAAGTCGGTGAGCTGGGCTTGGATTTCCCACTGAGCAGCTGAGAGGACTTGGCCAGCTGACTCCCCTCCTCTGGGCGCTGTGTCCTCATAGGCACAGGGCGGCAGACCAGATGACCCTAGGAAGGACAAAACCCCAAGGGCCAGAGTAAATCAAGCTTCCCACACGAGATGGCAAATATTCTTATTCTATGAAGCAGGGAAAGCAGCGATGGGACCAATGAATCTTGTTCTATTCTCTTCTGAAACAACAGGAATACTACTAACCCTCACCACCCACCTAGCTGGGATCTGGGAAGGATTAATGAGACATAATGCGCTGTGCTCTGCTGAGAGCTATTACCGTCTTGCAGGGGGAAAGTTCCCATTGTTGCCAGCAAACGAGACTGACAATTTGATGAGGTGTGAATATTTTGAGTGTAACAGTATGTAAACACTGGTTTTTTTTCATCCAAGTCATCACTCCATGCACACACCCTTCTGCATTTTTATGAGGCCATTTCTCTGTGGCTGTAAATATTCTGTGCTTGCCCTTTTCCACAAGCTCGAAGAATGTGCTGACCAGCGGCCAGGCTCAACCTCTAAGCTGATTCCTAGGGCTCGCTGCATTCTTTGGGAGAATGTTAATAGGCATATTCACATTTTACACCAATGTATATATGCCTTCCCTCTGGCGGGTACAAATTGCACCATGCAAGGCCAGCGGCAAGAAGAGGCCTCTGTTGGAGAAGGTTCAGCTATTTCACAGTGATAAATACGGAGCAGCAATGTGATTGCCATGACATAAAAGTAGAAGAAAAGGCAAGGTTCCCCTGACTCCAAATGGTATCCCTGCCACACTTGCTTAAACAGTAGGAAAAAGCCTAAGTCTTCAAACCAATACTTTTTAAAGAAAGAATTCCACCATTCATTCATTCAACAAGAATTTACCAGGCACCCAGTCCCCTGGGCCGTGGACCAGGATATAAAAACAAATATGACTTAGCTCTGTCTTTCATGTTGGTTATATTTTAGTGAATGACTTGACAAATGAACAAACAATAACAATTTGGTTGTACATGTGCAGTGCATAGGTTTTCTTCCATCTCATCCCTCTGTCCATCTAACCTCTAGAGTGTCACCTTCTCCTGCAATATTTAATAGAGGTGGTTTATCGCCATGTCTTCCCTGGTGGTGTATCCTTGGCAACTGCTTCTGCACTTTGATATCACTCTCACCCTGCTGCTGGTCACATCTCAAACTCCAAGAGCATGTCCATCTGGGACCCTATTACTACACTGCTGGATGGGCCTGGGTGAGTGGAGGAGAGGCAGGCCAGGTTTTTCTTTGTTGCTCCAACACTATATTCCCCATAATAGCGCCACATAAAGATATACACACATATATCATGCCACTAAAGGGTGGCATGCACGGGAGTTGGAATATAAATCCATACACCAAAAATAAGAAATGCTGCCATAGCAGCCTATAAAACACCCCTAATCCAATCTCTTCTTCTCACTGCCAAGGAGATCACCCTAATCCCAGCAACTCATAATTATTTGTAATTTGACTAATGCAATAGTTTCCTGATTTCTCAGATTCTGCTCCTTTCCCCCACTTCATTCCCCCTCAACAACCAGAAAAATGTTTAAAATTATAAATTAGATCACAATCTGTATTGCATGAGCCCTCCAATACTTCTATAACACTTAAAACCAGGAATCTTTGCAACAGTCTTCAAGATCTGCTCCTTCTGGCCTATTCCAGTCTCTCCCCTACTTCTCCACCTTTATTCTCTGAATCCAAACCACATGATCCTCTTTCTGCGCCCTGAAGATGCTCAGCTTGTTTCCATACCTCTGGGTCTATGCATTTGCTATTTTGTCTGTCTGGAATTCACTGCCTCAAGGTCTTCATTTGGTTGGCACCTTTGTGTCCTGTCTCAGCTCAATATCCCCACTTCACTGACTACTCAATTTAGCTTCCACTCCATAAGGTGCTCTCTAAAAAAAAAATACCCACTTTACTTTCTTGTATAACTGTTATGATGACCTAAAATCATCAGGTACATTTCTTTGCATTTTTTTGTTGTTGTTGTGTGCCTTGCCCCACCAAGTTTCTAAGCCCCATTAGGAAAAGCATCTTGCTGACTTATCTAACCTCTATCCCAATATCTAGCACAATGCCTTCCAAAGAACAATAGCTCAATAAGTGAATGAATATCTTGATAATAAAAAGAACAACTATGAGAAAAGTTGATCATTCAGATTTCTCAGAATACTTGCCAATCTGCAGTGCTGTACTCCATTCAAAATATTCTTTTCTTCAAAACTTTTAGTGCTGGTGCTTAATCTTTACCCAGAAGGGCTGGTCTGAACAGACCTTTTCAGTGCCTGGTTCCTTAGCCCTACCCCAAGCATTCTAGACATACAACCATGAGGCAGCAGTGCATTCTCCAAAGTCTGTCTTTCAGACCAATGTTTCAGTGAAATATTTCAAAATGGGCTCTGGCCCTCCACATTAATCATAACAGTTTAGCCCCTTCAAATTCTCTTTTTCTGAGTGGCGTGTAGAAATGCTCCCTGCTATGATTTGAATGTTTGATTCCTCCTCAAACTCATATGTTGAACTCCCATTCTCCAAATTAATGGCATTAGGAGATGGGGGCCCTGGGAAGTGATTAGGTTGAAAGGGTGAAACCCTTATGAATCATAGTAGCGCCCTTATAAAAGAAGACCAAGAAAGAATCCTTTCTCCTTCCACCATGTGAGGACACAGCAAGACGTTTGCTGTCTGCAAGCCAGGAAGCAGATCCTCACCAAGAACCAAATTAGTTGGTATCTTGACCTTGCACTCCCCAGCTACCAGAACTATGAGAAATAAGCTACCTAGTCTATAGTTTGTTTGTTTTTTTAAAATAGTAACCCAAACAGACTTGTTTATCAAATAAATAAATATTAGATCAAGAAAATATATAAACATGCACACCTGCCAGGGATAAGCATTAGCTTTCTAACACAATGCAGTCTAAATCCATCCCGAGTAAGTAAAGGAGGACATTTTATTTGACAGCAATGATATCTGCACAGTAGCTTCCAATATTAGAAGAGCAATGGCCATTTCCTTTCACACTACATCCTGTATCCCCAGTGATGTGTGAGAGACAAGGCCCAGTATACAACCATCTACTCCCATTGACCAACCCACAAAGCCCAACAAGCCAGGAGACAATTTAAAATTATTTTCATTGTTTGTTTGTTTTACTCTTTGATCCAGGTCACTTATTTGGTAGATTCTCTTCCTGAGATCTCTAGACACAGAAGAGAGGCTGTGTAAGAATCCATCTACCCAAGCTAGGGAAGGGGTTGTCTTTCTAGAGAGGAGTTGTTGCCCCAGGTACAGATAATAGAGCTAAACAGAATGCTTTGGCTGCCTGAAGGAGAGGCCACTGATACAGCTCAGGTGTGAATGGTAGGTGAGGCAGAATGGGAGTGGGAGGCTAGAGAAAATTTCCCAGGCAGGGTAACAAGAGCCAGCCCTAAATAGTGAGTGGGGTCCCCAGGCAAAGAAGGAAGAAGATAATCTTGGGCAGAATCAGCATGGGCAGAGACCTCAAGGCAAGTCAAAGCATGAAACCTCCTGAGAACCCAGGCAATTTCACACAGCTGAAGCCATAAGGAGGCGTAAGAGGGGAGTGGTAACAGACCTGTCCGAAGGAGTAAGAAAAGCCCCTACCATGAATAACCTAGTAGGAACTAACAAGTCTTAACATTTCTCTGAAAGCAAAAGCAAAAGAGTAAAAGGTTTTAAAGCACAGGAGAATGGAGATTGGATTTCAGGATTGCATTTTAGCACCAAAGTTTGCTGAAGACAGTATCTGCCCTGCCCTGCGGGTGGGTGTCATGCCAGGCCCTGTTCTTCTCGCATGCTGGCCTATCCCTGAGCACTGAGTCATCACCGGGTACTAGGATTTCTAAGAACATCAACCACAAACCATTACCTGAGAAACAGGCTTGTGTGTTTTTTTTTTTTTTTTACAATGGAAGAGACCTAATTGAAGTTCCTAGTAATTAAAATAAGCAAATGCTACTTACATAATGGATTATTAATTAGCCTGCCTATGCTTCTGAATGTCTTGTTTAAATAGATCTTGATATTTAGAGGGGAATTTTGGTGTCGAAGGTGTCTTTCCTCTGCCTTATGCATGACTGTTGATCCTTATCCAAAACAAATTGAAGTCTGCTGGCGAATATTTAGATGATAAACCTGACATTTTCATTTCTTAGGTTATTAATCATTTGCCATATACCAACTGAAGTTTATGTTTAAAAAAAAAATGCCCGTACATATTATACAAACCTTCTCTTCAAAACTTCTAAAAAATATGTGTGTGTTGAACCAGCATCCTTCTTAATAATGTTCCCAGCAAGCCAGGTAAGGAAAGGTCAATGTTTAGTTATGTTAATCCATCTATACTCACTACACAATTAAAATACAGCCCTCCCCTCCTCTCCCTCCCTCCCTCCCTCTCTTCCTCCCTTCCTTCCTCCTTTCTCTCCTTCCTTTCTCCCTCCCTCTTGCCCACTCTCCTTGCCCTTAAATAAAAAAAAATAAAGCAAGATAAAATAATAAAATGAAATAAAATACAGCTCCGTTGTACACAGTAGGAAGAAATTGTGATAAAGAATAATTAGAATATCAGTTGCTAAACCTCAGAGGCCCTGCCATGTAGTGGGATGAGCACTAAAGCCAGGGGATCAAAGGGCTCCATTTGCACCCAATTCTGCTCCTGGGTGGGCTTGTTACCTTGGGCAAGCTGCTTAACATTTCTGAGCTCTTCATGAGCTGCATAAATTGGGTAAATGGTGAGG